CTACTCTCTCTCTCTCTCTCTCTCTCTCTCTCTCTCTCTCTCTCTCTCTCTCTCTCTCTCTCTCTCTCTCTCTCTCTCTCTCTCTCTCAAAATCACGAAGGTGAAATTAATCCGAAAATTAATTCTGTACTGTTCTCTTGAAGATACAATTAGAAATGAAATTAGCGCGGAGTAGTAAATAAGCCAAACCAAGTAATTTATAAAATAAACTTTTGTCTTCCTTCTAAGAAGTGATAACATTATATATTAATAAAGAAATAAATTGAAAGAAATAAATTTGATCTCTAACGAAATCAATTTGAACTTTTGAGAATAAAATCCTAATAAATGTCTGTAATTTTAAAAACAGTAAAAATAAACGCAAAAACACGGTAATGTTGAATCTTGCAATGTAACATGTATCTTGATAGAGCTGTGTAAATGCAATAGGACAATTAATTTGTTAAAAATACTACATGATTGGTCCGATAATTTTCCCACCCTTCTTCCTGAGAATTTCAGTACTTCACTGGGAAAAAACACATGGCGCCATCATTCGTAGCGTGGAGCACGAAATTTTTCCCGAAATAAAGCATGGGGAATACGTCTCGGAGCTTGCGGGTATTATTGCGTCGGCTCGCGTTTAATTTTCCACGGCTTTAGCGACGAGAAATGCGCTCGATTCTCTCGCATTCTTTAAACACACCGCGTCGGGAAAAGAGAGCGATTCATAAAAGTACACGCTTTCCTTTCCTTTCAATTTGTATATATTTCACAGCACTGCAGAGAAACGCGTGCTTCATAAACTAGCCAGTAAATCCTTCCGAACCAAATTGCATCTCCTCGAATTTGTTGAAAGTGGGTCATCAAGACCTCAGGTTTAGATTAAAATTAAAATGTAGATATTCTCTCAGATATTTGATAAAAAATAAAAAATTAATTAAATATTACATATATAATACTATGTAATATTTTATATTCCGCCGTACTTAAAATTCGCTGGACAAATTGAGCGTGCTGGACACGTCGACTTCATTAATAATTGCACGATAAATATTCCGCGTGTATTAATAATTAATAAATTCATATATTATAGTATGGCAATGCCATGGTAAAGTGACAGTTTCGTTAAATATTAACGAGTATCAATTTATTCGATATCTATACGATCGTATTATCCGTATTTATTCTGCGAATAAATGTCCGTGAGTCGCGCATTGAAGTTGCGAGACGTGTCACGGCGTGACGCGACGAGATTTTCGCATTTCGCGCAAGGGGGGTGAGGGACATTTACTGCGATCCGGAATCGCGCCGGATAAACTCGGGGTCGCAATAGAGTCACGATCGTAAGTCAAACGGGCCGCGGTGGTATTGCGCTTAAGTTTCGACAGTTTTACTGGCACGGAAATTTCCCGGCGAGACGCGCAACTTCGCGCGCCGGAAGTCGCGAAATCCGCGCCGGTTTAAAGGAAAATGAAACGCGGCGCATTTTTACGCGGGGAGTTAACTCCACTCCTCTCGCCACCTCGGCTTTATCGCCGTCGCCTTTTATTGCCGTCGTATTTGAAGTCACTCGACTTTACGCTCTTATAAAGACCGATGCCCTTTGTTCGCCGTGAGTTTTTGCGGCGAGAACAAACATTTTGCAACAACTGCGAGATATTTATTCGCTGACGAAATAGCATTACAATTTGACGCGCGAAAGTTGACGTGTTGTAAAAGCGAGTGAGAATCTGACGTTGGGAACCTCGACGCTGTAAAGTTACGTTGTAACTTGGATTCTCGCTCCTTTTTTTTTTTTTCATGACGTTGATAAATACGTCAATTTGGCGAAAGTTTCCGTCAGGAATTTATGAAACGTTCACCGTATTATATCGTTGAAGTAGAAAATATAGACATTGCATTTATACACATCTATGTACTTTAGTTTATATTAATAATAATAAATTCATTTGAAATTACGGCACACAACGCGGATTTTACTGGATCAAATTTGCTTCAAGCGTGATTGATATATTATTGATTATTATTAGTTTATTAGATTATTAGATATTAGTTTATTATTTTTGCTGCAAATATCCGCGGAAAATGGATACACTTGATATCAGCATCAGTAAATTTGACAAAAAAAGATCACGCGCTTAAACTTCATATTCCTGGCGAACGACCAGCGAAAGAAAGTTACATTGCGAAAGAAAAATACCGGATGCTTAACTGCATTATATATCCGTATGTCTTGCAGAATATCTTCCCGCTTTCAACTTCGCTTTATCTTGTTCCTTCGACGAGTACCTGCGAGTTGCACCTCCGGGATCTTCACCGATCT